TGTGGCCCCCCCGCCTGCCCCGTTCACCCCGCTCCCCGGAACAGGGGGGAATGCCCCCCCCCCCTCCCGCCTCGCCGGGCCAGCCGGGAGGTCACCATGTTGCCAGGGAGGCGGGCGGGAAAAAAATGAGCCATCGGGGTGTCCCTCGGCCCTGCTATCTTTATATATATATACCTGGGAGAGGCCCCCGCCCTCCCCGGGCCTGCCGGCGCCACCCCGGGGAGAAGACCAATGGAAGACCGACGCGCCTCGTGAGCCTTGCCCGTCCCACGGCCGGCTTCCGGCCGAATGTCCGCCGGCCGTCGGCCGCCCGCTCCGGCGCACCGACGAGCCGGGCGCCCCGCATGCTGGGGCGACACCCCCGCCCGGCCCTCCTTCCTCTTGCTCCAGGGGCGGGGCGGCCGGGCACATTGGCCCCCACTCCGCCGGCCCGGCCCCCCGCCCCCAAAACCCCACAGTCAAGAGTGGGCCCTTCCGGCTTCGGCCTGCGTCGCCGTGGCCGCGCCGGCACCATCCGCACGCTCGTCCTCGCGGGGTGCGCCGCGCCCCTTCCCCCCCGGTCCGGTCCGGGCGGCGGCGGCGGCGGCGGCGTTTCAAAAAAAGAGCAACGCGGCAACCGCGGCGTAGGGTTGGAGGGGCAATGCAGGCCAATGTCACGTGCGCCCCGCGGCGCGTGGGGAATCTGCGCGCCTCCCTCGTCACAGTCCCCGAGTCTGCTTGGAGAAAGGGGCCGGGGGGGGGGGGGGGGGCACACCCGCACAACATTGGCTCCGGAGGGCGGCGTGTCGAGGCTCTTCCCCCCTCGCCCCCCGCGGGCTGGCCCTTGGCTGGCGGGGGCAGGCGCCCGGCCTTCCGGCGCACCGATGCAGCTGCAGCCGTGAGCCCTCATCCCCCGCCCGCGCACGCACACACAGTCGCAAACCGCGCGCCCCTCTCTCCGCATGTCGGGGGGGGGGGGGGGCCTAAGCCGGAGCGGGGCACACACGGTTTGTGACTGGGCGAGGGGGGGGGCCATTCGCCTGGCGGCCCCTCTCCCTGTTTGATCGCGGTGTCGGGCCTCGTTGGAATGAGATATTTGCGCTTCTCAGCCTCCTCCTGCGCCTGCCCCCGGTGCGCCTCGTCGGCGCGCCGTTACCCGCCAGCCTCCAGGGGGGAGGGGGGGACCGGCCAGGCGGATATGCATGGGGGCGCGGCGCCGGCCTCGACCGGTGGGCGGGTCTTTCCGACTGTCGGTGGAATGCTGTCTGGCCATCGGACATTCCTTGGCCGGCCGACATTGTCCGAGCACTGTTTGCCCCTCGCCCCGGCCGCGGCGATCGCCCTCGCCCGCGCCCCCCCCCGGCCCGGCCCTGCCCCCGCGCGCCTGGCGCTGGCCTCATCTTGCCCGTCCTCCGGCCCCCGACACCCGTGGATACGCCTCCGCACGGGGGGGGGGCGGGGGCGTTTTGGCAGGGCTCCGGAATGTGCGTGACCGCGCACAGGTCGCCCCCGCCCCCACTCTCCCTCGCGGCCGGGGAACGGGAGCGACGACGCCCCTGCCGTTGCCGCCTGTCGCGGCCTGCATTTCCGGCAAGCCCTCACACAGGAACCGGGATCGAACACACCTCCCTGCAGGTGTAGACCCATTTTCGCCCGCGCCCCCGCCCGGCCCGGCCCCGCCCCGCGCCCAAGGGCTCCCCACCCAGAGCCCCTTGCCGCTCATCTCCCTGACGACCTGCCCCACATCCGTGACAGCCACGCGCGCCTTCCTTCTCCCGATCATCATCGTTCCACCCCGCCTCCGGCGCGCCCCCGCACACGTCGACATATTGCTTCGGGGCCGAGAATAAAAAAAAGAACCCCCCCAGAGACAGAGCACGATCACACCAGCAAGAGAGGCCTTTATTCCGCGCGCATCCCTGGCTCCTTTTTTTTTTTTCGGCTCCTTCTACGCCGCCGGCCAGACACGATCCCCGGCCGGCGCGCGGTCATGGAGCTTCCAATGGAGGAAGGATCACATGCCCCAATGCAGGGCATCACACCGCTCAGCCCTCGCGGATGACCGCCGCCAGGCGCTGGAGCGCCTGGTCGATCTGCTCCGCATCGGCCGTGCTGAAGCTGGCACGCACGTACGGCGAGGTGCCAGTGCTCTGGCTGCCGTCCTCCTGCGCGCCGAGGGGGAAGGAGGAGACAATGCCGCCGTCACCGCACTCCGGCATGAAGCTCTCGCCCGGGACCAGCAGGACGCGCTTCTCAGCGGCCTTGGTCCGGATCAGCGGGGCGCTGTCCTGAATCTCACCAAGCAGGCGGAACCAGACGAACATGCCTGCGATGCGATGCGATGCGTGTGTGTGTGTGTGTGTGAGAGAGAGAGGGAGTGCGAGAGCGAGATGGCGATGGAAAGATGGATAGAAAGAAGAGGGGGGGGAGATGGCAGCATGACACGAAAGACCAGGTGACGCACCGGCGTCCGGGGAGTGCCACTCGGCCAGGCCCTTCAGGTGCCGGTCAGCCGCCTCGCAGAACACATCCCGACGAGAGCGATAGAAGTCGGCCACCTCGTCGCAGTGCTTCAGGAACCCCTCGACACCAATGTGGTTCAGGTAAGCCAGCAGGGTGGCCTGAGCAATGCCGCTCGGGTGAAGGCAGCCCGCCTGAGCGTGCAGAACCAGCCGGTCGACCAGCGGGGCCGGCCCGGTGGCGAAGCCAATGCGCATGCCGGCCGAAACAATCTTGCTGAAGGAATCCGTGCGCAGAACACGGGCATCCTCATCGAGAGCCAAGAAGGAGGGAGCACGCTCGCCCTCGCCATACTGCGAGAGACATACGCACGCACGCACGCACGCACGCACGCACGCAGATGTGCGTATTTTTTTTTGGCCACACACAAACACCCACCCCAGGGCGCGAGAGAGGATGGCGCATGGCCCGTTAGATGCGCCGGCACACCCTTGCAGCGTTGCGAGCCGGAGCAAAAAGAAAAGAAAAAAGAACAAGTACAGCAACCCACCTGCAGATAGTAGTACGGGTCATCCTCCACAATGAGGAGGTCATGCTCGCGGGCCACCTCGTAGAGCTCCCGGCGCCGGTGCTCCGGCTGCGTGGTGCCAGTGGGGTTCCCACCGGCCGGGATGGTGTAGAGCACGCGCGGGCGAGCGCGCGCCGTGGGGTCCTGCTCCAGAGTCGGCCAGTTCCGAAGAACGGTATCCACGCGATCCGGCCGGAGACCATGCTCATCGGTGCCAACACCAACCACCGCCCCGGGGTTGGCCCCGAGGTGCGGCCGCAGCCCGGCCAGCACGCCACTGTAGCAGGGCGACTCCACCAGCACCGAGTCCGTCTGCGGGTCCAGCAGCATCTCGAAAGTGCGCAGCAGCAGGTCCTGACTGCCGGTACCAATGCAGATGTCCCAGTCCTTGGGCGTGTAGGCCCCCGGGGCCGACAGATCCCGGAAGAGCCCGGCCTTGCTGCCGTGCTCCGCCTGCTGAAGCTGCTTCAGCCAGCTCAGCAGCCCCGGGCTGCCGGCCGACGCGCCGTACTGCAGGGCCGCGGCCATGTCCTTCTCGCCGATCTCCACCGACTCGCCGTTGCGCAGAGTCAGGGATGCCTTGGCGAAGGGGAAGGTCGAGGGGTTGGGGTTGCCACCACCGAGGGAGATCTGCGTGCAAGCGTGTGTGTGTGTGTGTGTGTGTGTGTGTGCAGGTGTGTGTGCAGGTGTGTGTACAGGTGTGCGTACAGGTGTGCGTACAGGTGTGCGTGTAAGTGGCGTGCATGTGTGCGTCATGGCCGAAAAGCAGGGGCTAGGTGGCGGGAAAGAGACATGGGGAAGAGGGGAAACGCACCATGCCGGGCAGGTTCATCAGAGGCTGGAGGGCGCGAATGGCCGAAGGCTGGCGCAGGGCGCTTCACAAACCCGCGCAGGGCAGCAGTCAGCGGAGGCGACGGCAGGCAAGAGGCGGCAAGTGGGCGAGGAAGCGAAGCACGGTACCTGGTCTTCGACAGGAAGCGCGAGTAGTCGGTGATACGACGGGCGCTCATCTTGGGGAGGGCAAGGGGGGGGGAGAGAGGGGGCGCGGAGGAAACGGAAGGGGGGGGGGGGAAGGAGGGGAGGCTGACCGAGGGGAGCCGCTCGCCAGTGTCACCAAAGCCGGGTCCCGGCATCTGGGCCACGCCACCAGCAGACAAAAATAGGCCTTGGCCAGCCCCCGTCCGCCCGTGCGAAAGGAAAAAGAAAAGAGCGAAAAAAACACACCCGGCGTATGTCCAGGCCCGCCCCACCGCGCCACACGGCAGCCCTCCGCCTAGTCACCCGGGAAACAGACGACGCCGCTCGCATGCGCCTCCACCCGCACCCGAGGGGGGGGGGGGGGAGAACACGTTTCGGAGGGATCTGCACATACAGAATATATGGCTATCGCGAATGACCAAGGTGCTGGAGCCCATTGAGGGCTAGGCTTGGGCCTGGAACTGGGAATGAAGCACCGGCGATCGACAGCCTGCTCCGTCCTTGTTTCTTGTTCGGCCGATGTTTCGGTGCCCCGCCCCAGCGCCCCCCCCTGCTCCACCGGACGCCGTCCCGCGCCCTCACGCTCCCAAGCCCAAGGGTCGCGCCCCTGGGTGTCTGAGCAATCCAAGCCCCGGCTCGGAAGGACGGAAACCATCCATCAAGGCCATTGCATGAGTGACACGGGAGGCCGGGAATGGGGATGGGCGGCGTTATATTGGATACCACAGGGGAGGAGGGGGGGGGGGGGGGAGACACCCAGGTGGCAAGTGGCAAGGGGGCCGAGCAAGGTCCTCCAGTGGTCACCAGCATGGCTCTCAGCCCTAACGTCAAGCAGCGGCGAGGGGATCTATTCGCGCTGGAAGGAAGTATTCTGAAGGGAAACCTCGAACTTGGCAGCGAGGGTCTCCATGTCTTGGAAGGCCGGTAGGTGGAGACGGTTGTGGCTGCACGCGCGCGAGAGGGACAGGGGGGGCGGGCGGGCGCAGGGGGAGGAGTGGCATTCATGAGCGGTGAGCATGGGCGACCCCCCCGGAAGGAAAGGCAGAGGGGCACTTGCGTGTCGAATAAGAGGGCATGAATAGGAAAGAAATCAACAAGAAGGTCCACACGCACCATGTCGAGGCCGAGGGGAAGGGGATGGCCGGCGGCGTGGCATTGACGAGCTGGATCTTGAAGGGTTCCAGGCGGCCGTAGCCAAAGAGCCGGGCGAAGCCACCGAAGGGCGGCCGCGTGAGGCCGGTGACAAACTTGAGGACTTGTGACCGCAGGGCAAAGTCCCCTTGGGACATGTATGCCCAGAAAAGGCGCACAGATGGATGATTGGCATTGCAGTCAATGTACACCGTGTTTGCCTGCCAGTCCTCAATGCTGATGTCATTGCCGGCGATGATGGACTGCACGTGTGTGTTCGCGTTTTCATGTGTATGTGCGTGTGCGTGTGTGTGTGTGTGTGGGGGGGGGGGGATTTCCGCAGGACACCGAGGCAGTTAGCAAAGGGGAGGCGGCGCATGCGTGCGCATGAACGCGCCGCGCCGGGGCGGCGTTTGGGCTGGCGAGCGCAGGCTACATGGAGAGGGCAGGGGGAAGGGGCAAGGGTGAGGGGGGGGGGGGGGGGGGGGGGGGGAGGAAAGGGCATCCCGATGGCGCACCTCCAACTCGTGTGGACCAAAGAAAGACTTGACAATGTTGATCGGGGTGACGAAGTTGAAGCCATCCCGCAGATACTGGAGCTTCTGCCCGTAGCGCTCAGTGAGCAGGTACTCCGAAGCGCGCTGGATGAAAAGGTCCACATTTTCCAAGGTAACCAGGATCTCGGAGCCATTCTCAATGAGGTCCACATCGTACACCTCGTTGGTGAGATCGTCCTTGACGGTCTGGACAAAGTTATACTCAACATGTTCGAGGACCTCGGGGTTGCTGGAGAGGCCCGGAGATGAACGAGCAGGAGAGACGTCAGTGCCGGAGCTGGGACATGGGCCGGTCCAGAGTGGAGAGGCGAGAAGGGAGCGGAGAGCGGAGAGGGAAAGAAGAGAGAGAGAGAGAGAGCGAGACAGACGGAGAAAGAAAGAAAAAGGAGGGGAGGGCGCACCGCATCAGCTGGTAGGAGTTATAGAGGCCCGGATCGAAGCTCTTCAGGTCCTCCGGAGTGACCTCGGCACCGAGGAGGTGCTTGTAGATGTGAAGGGGGAAGCACACGTCAATGGTGATGCGGTTGCGCAGACAAAGGCCCAGGACACGGCCAAAGAAGCTGTAGAACTGCCGCGAGTCGTCATCATCATCCAGCGACCGGATGTGCGTAAGGTCGATGGCGTGGCCAAGGTGATCGGATTCCGACTCAAGGTCACGGAAATAGGCGTAATCCTTGTCAAGGAGCTTATTACGCAGGGGAGCTGATCCACTCGCTGGGGGGGGGGGGTGTCGGGGGGGAGGGGTGTCAGTAGGAGGCGCCCTCCTCTGGTAGGGTTGCACATGGGCGCGGGTGTGGGAAGACATACCGGGCGACGCCGCCAAAATCGAGCCCATCCTCCCCGTGGAACTTGACCACAAGCTTTCGCTCGATGTCCTCGCGGCGGAGCTTGTTCACAGCGATAACCGATGAGTCGAGGATGTGGTCCCGGTGGACGACAATGATCGGCTCGCGATGTTGGTTATTCGAGACGATGCCCTTGGTCTGGAAGAAGGTGTCGATGCGCTTGCTGAGTGTCTTGCTATCGAAGCCAGCATTGGAACTGTGGGCGTGGGTATGGGCGTGTGCCACGGAAGGTAAGCGCAAAGGGACTCAGATTGGGGAGAAAGAAAGAGAAAGAGAAAGAGAGAGAGAGAGAGAGAGAGAGCAGAGACGCGAGACACGCACATAGCGGCGGCCGGCACACGTGGGTCATCCCAAGTGGTGGTTTGAGTGGAATGGTCCACGAAGTAGATGGTGCCTACATCGTTGAACTTGTACTCCCACAGGGGCGGCAGGGCGGGATAGTCCCAGGTACTGCTCCGATCATTGTGGTTGAGGTAGTAGTACTGCAGGCCGGGCCGCGGGTTGAGCAGGACCTCTGTGCACGCGAGGAACACCGGGGAGGGGAGATATTAGGTCGCTGATGCGATGGCGGGGCAAGCGTGTGGGCACAAAAGAGCGGCATATTCGCACCCCAGCCGGGCGGCAGGGTCCGCCGAATCATGGCCAGTCCATCGGCGGGCTTCTGGATGAGGTAGTTGAAATCCGGCGACACATTGCGAGGATCGTAGACAACCGGCCGCTCCCAGTGTGTGGTCCGAGTGTTGTGGTCGACATAGTAGGGGCGTCCGTCTGGCGTACGCCGCATTTCCCACCTGGGACAGCCGAGGGCCAAGTTAGGGAGGTTAGCGACAACCGCGGAGGAGAGGGCAGTCGAGGGGCGACGTGCTGGCGGGGGAGACGTACCCCCGCGGGAGGGGCACATTGTTGGACTGCGACATCGTGGAGCTTGGTGGCGGCTGGATGGGGTTTCGCGGCTGGCTGCTGCTCAGACAGTGACAGGGGAGGTGGATGCGTGTATGTGTGTGCGTGTGTGTGTGTGTGAGAGAGAGAGAGAGAGAGGGTGCAGGAGCGAGAACGAGAGCGAGAACGGGGCAGAGAATGTGGCCGGGCGGTGGCGCAGAGTAAAACATGCGGCCGGAGACGCACGACTGAGGGCGGTTGATCTTGACAACCGAATGCCTGATCTTGAGGGAGACCTTGTCTGAGAGGAGGCTTCTCACAGGGGAAACTGAAGCCCATCATTGGCAGGGGCATCCAGGCCGGCGGAGGAGCTCGGTGTCAGCAGGCACGCTCGCAGGGGGATGAGCAGAGGCAGAGGCAGGGGGGTGGGGGCGCGGAGGGAGAGCATGCGCACGCTCAAAGGGGGAGGTCGAGCGGAAGATGCCAAAGAGCTCTGGAAGTGGAAGTTCAAAGCGACCAACGAGGATCTCTGTCCGGGCGACCTTGTGAAAGACTTCGATGATGGGCTTGTCGTCGGAGGAGATATGGCTGGGATGGGTTGGCGAGGGGGCGGAAAAGAGTCAGTCGGGGAGGAAGGCATGAAGAGAGTGCACGAGGGGCCGAGGCCGTGCAGCTATCCCCGGGCGGATCGATGGATGTGGGGGGAGGGGGGCCGAGGGGGGGCCGGGGGGGGGGAGCCGGGGGCACATACAACTGGAAGAGGATATTCCAGACAGCCTTTTTGAGCGTGTGGTGAGGGGTCGACACGGGACTGGCCAGGGGAAGGGTCCGGCAGTGCGGCGGGCGCTCGAAGCGAATGGTGCAGAAAAGATGGCCACCAGAAAGCGAGGGATTGGGCGTGGCTCCGATGATTTTCAGAGACAACTGATAAAAACTTATTTCCGAAACGGATAGAGACATGCTGGTCTCAGCGCATCAGCAAAGCACCAACCGTAGGGGAGGGGGGGGGGGGGGGGGGGGGGGGGGGGGGGGGGGGGGGGGGGGGGGGGGAGAGAGCGGCAACAACCAACCCAGAGATGGGGAGGAAGCAGAGCACAAGAACGGGGCTAGGGCAAGCCTAGGAGAGGGACCGGGCGGGGAAGATGATGGGGAGTAGCGGAGTATGAGGGACGGAGAAGCAGAAGGAGGAGAAAGAAGAGGAGGAGGAGGAGGAGGAGAGGTTGCTGACGCTCCACGGGGGATATTAACACACACTTTTTTGAAAAGCCAAGATCCCGCGCGCGGGGCCCGCTCCTGAGCTGAACGGCAAACAATAACAGCGGAAAAGGAGCCGCTCTGTGCCGGGGGGATGTGCCCCCGCCCGAGGGCATGGTGCGCTTCCTGCCCCCCCCCGTGCTGCACCCGCCGCCCCTGCTGTTGTCTGCCTGCCTGCCCCCCGGCCTGCTTCGGCCGCTGTCCAGGCCCCCCGGCCCCCGGCCCCCGGCCCCCGGCCCCCGGCCCCCCTTCGCCGCCCCCCGCCGGGGAAGGTTCCAAGTACGGGGGTACAATCGGAGATGGAGAGCCCGAAGGTGGCAACCCCCGCGGCAGCTCTTCTCTACCCAATGCCCCTGCCATGCTGGCTACTTGACCGACGGGGGGCGGCGGCGGGCAGGGCGGGACACGCCTCCGAAGGCGCGAAAGTCCGGCCGCTGGACTGCCCGATTCGGGCGGCGATCTGGACATGATCTGGAAAAGTCGGCGCTCGCGAGAACTGCACCCCCGGGGACGATGCATCCTTCTGGCCTCGAGCCCCCTTCGGGCGGGGTGGGGTGGGGGGGCGGGAGGTCTCACAAGTTCTGCGACCGGGCCTCTGTGATCGGCGAGAAGGGTGAGGGCCGTGTCGCACGTCGACTTTGGGAGAGAGATAGAAAGAGGGGGAGCCAGCATGAAGAGACGGACCGGGCGGGGGGGGGGGGGGGGGCATTTTCGGCAAGGACACGCATCCGCGCGCACGGACGGGGGGTGCGCCCTCAATCCCGGGAGAGATAGAACGATATGGTTGTTCGGTTCCACGGCCCGTCTACACTTGTTCGCAGATCACTTCCCATTTTGGAGCCGGGCCGGGGATAACTGTGCGGGCCAGGGGTCGTCTCACGCGGTGACACGTGCACATATCGTGATTCCACACGGGCACACATTTCACCTTGCGGCGGCGAACTTCCGCCCGGGTTCACACCGGCAGAGGTGTCCGGATGTCCGGCCGACCCTTCCGCGGGCAGTGGTCGACTGGAGTCGGCGCCGGCGGCGTTCGACGCCACACCCAAGGGCGGTGGTTACCCACAGGCTGGGATGTATCCCGGCCGGGAGCGCCTCGGGGGAGATGACCAGGGGGGGGGGGGATGGCGGTCTAGTGGCGGAGTCTTCTCGATGCGCAATTTTATTTTTTTTTCATTCCCAGCCCAGTCGCGCGCCACCGCGCCGGCCGCGCTGTGTGCCGCTTACCTGAGCCCGCCCTGGCCCGATGCCCCCGGACGATGTGGGTCCCGCCGCCCGGCGGCCACCGCACGGGCCGCGCCAGACAAGGACAATCGCAGGGTATGCCTGCCAGAAATAGGCGGGTCCCC